ACGCAGAAGTTTCTTTAATTCACTTGCCTATATCTTTGACGTAGTGTTTTACGAAATATTTTCTACAAACGTTATTTGATCCTGGTGAGTTAATCATATATATATATATATATGTTTTGCAAAGATTAATTGTTTGGCGAAAATTGAAAGTAGTATATATATAAATGTCAGGCATATTTCTTTGATTTCTTGTCACTTAACTTTTCTAACATCTCTTCCAATGCAAACCATATCTGTAAGAATTGTTATGTATTTCGGAGTTTTATGATGGGCTATTACTTTCACTCAGTGACCTACAGAAGCTTCGCTTAAGTGGTTGGAGATTGTAAAATCGCGCTTTCAGCATTCTTCCTGTAATATCATCGACTTCGTCTCGGTGATCCACCGTTTGTATTACTTAGTGACTGATGCCAATTTAGATTCAGATTTGTACTTTGAGGATAGAAGGCTGTAAGCATATTTATCTGCTTGTTCTTTCCACATTTGGACAAGTCGACTGATGATGTGGACGCCATTTTGTTGGAGAGTTGGTTCCAAGATTGATTGCTTGACGCAGGAACCATTACTCTGCGGAAACGATGCATAGTTTCCCAGCATAAATCTAACTAAGGATATGCATGATGTGGTAAGCAACACCACTTGATTTAGTAAAAGTTTTGCGTAATACATAGACTGTCCTTTAACTCCAAGCTTCGATCAGTGGACAGTATGCTACGGTCTTCAAATAGTGACTGACCGTGACACCTAGGTCATTGCCAGTCAATACTGTGGATAGAGGAGTTCAACTATTATCGTAGGTGTTGCAACCTGGATGCCCCTTGCGTATGCTCACGCTCTTACTTGCGTTGATAGGCATCAGCCATTTCTTTGGTCAGGTTGACAAGGTGTTGTCTGCCTGAAGTTTACATGCACCATCATCCTTAATTTATCACCGGATTTCATATCAGCGTAGAGAACCACAAAGGATTTCGTGACATTAGGCAGTCCATTTATGTGCAATGGACCGATGAGTCTACTTTATGACACTCCATTCTGTACCAGCCTCCGAGAAGAGAATTGTTTCTTAATCTTTGTTTCTTACCAACAAGGGACCCTCTAATCCATGAGAGTAAATTGCCAGTTATTCTAAAGCTTCCCACTTTCTTGAGCAACCTGGAATGAGTACCTTGGCAAACGTCTAAGTCAATAAAAATGACGTCTACAGGTGTTCTGTCACTTTTAGACTTGACCCCACTTTCTGTCTGAGGTTTGTGAAGCACGAGCAATTTTCGCGAAAACCATGTTGCGAACGGGACAGTCGAGTGGACGATAATGCATTTCTCGACATCACTCTTTTTCTATCCACCTGTTCTTTTCGTACTATTTTAAAATGTGACAACTTGAGCCGATGCACTTGTATGCGAGGTTCTACGTTGATTTTGTCAGTCAGTCAGCGATTACTCTTTCTAGGATTTGTGCTGCTGTACTAGTCAAGCATAAGAGTCCAAAATTTCGCAAGCGCTCTCTAGAACCTTGTGAATAGGTGTGGCTTCGGCGTCTTTTCAGTCAGAGTAGTGTTCCTTTACTGTGGGACAGTCTGAATATGGTAGTCAATAGGTCAGATACATGAGATGCAAGCTCCCTGATTAGCTTTGGCTGTATCTCATCTGATCCCGTTGATTTTTCTATATCCAGAGTACTTAGTGTCCCGAATATTTCATTGCAGTTGGTATCCACAGAGTTTATTCTGTTTGGTGTCAATGTTTACACTACTGAATTTGCATCCATCGAAGGTTCCCAGGTAAATACTTCCTCAAAATATCCGACCATCCCTTCTGTTTTGTCCTTATTGTCGTCAGTTAAATAGTTAGTTTCTGTCTCTGTTTAGGGTGGGGTATATTATGAATAGGTCTTATTTACATAGTTCATATTAGAAACTCACCTCTTCCTGTGTTCTATTGCAGTCTGAGGGTTGACGTTTCCAAGCATATTCGAGACTAGAGGACAGCAACTATGCATTTTTTTTCCAAGCTTATTCGTTATGCTGTTTCTTCTCCGGAGTAAGTGATAAGACACCAAAACATTTCTTGAGCCGTAGCCAACTTCGAATTTCATGGTTTATCAGCAGAGGAAAATGTTTTCTCCCCTTTGAGAAAGTTCATGAAATGAACAGTTGAGTCACTCACACAAACATCTGTTTAGAAGAGCAATATGCAGCCTCAATTGAAGCTTCTTAATTGACTATCCAATCCCACAAAGAGACTACCGAGATAACTATCATGTTCTTTCCCCACATTGGGTTTCACTAGAGTATCCGCTCGACACAGTTGATGAAGTCTCTTGCTGTTGGTCTAAGTCGTGTAGGGAGATGTAGACTACCTGGTTGGGGTCCCTGAGATGACAGGAATCAATAGTTTAGAACTGACTCTTGGTAACATGGCTGAAAATCGGTCACTCCTTAACGTCTTCCAAAACTTTAGTATTCGCACTAACCTTTATCTTCATATTGTTTATCCTCTCACACAACTTTGTCTACTTTGATATCAGCCTTTTGGATCCACCCGTTTTTTGTATTCTACTGGGAGTGTGGCAACTTGAACCGATGAACTTGTTTATTAGGTTGTACGTTGATTTTGTCTCTGCTTATTTAACCTAATCAGTTAGTGGTGTCCTTCAATGTTATAGAATCATATATCAATTAAACCAAAACTGATCAAGACTACTCTCTCCTTCTCACTGACGATACAAGGCTTCAGAGGCACAGAACTTCAGTCTTTAAGTCTGGTTGACCTCACTGATCTTTGTCTAACGACATTATTCCAGTTCAGTGGCAAAATATACAAACAGAAAGGAAACTCCAATGGATTCGTCGATATCCTGAAAGGCTGTAAAAGCAGTTATGCAGAAACTTGAAGCCTTTGGTTTACCAGTGATCAAACGTAAGCTTTGGATCTTCTTGTGGACGTTATCTTCAGTACTATTTAAAAGGACAAATTGGAAGGTACTCATGATTTGGTGAATGCACACGTGAAAATCAACAATTGGATTGCCTCACATAGCAAAGATCAGTAAGAGACTAATCAGGTCTTTTGGAAATGGTGTGGCTCATTAACCCTCCCTCCCCTCCAAATCCTCTGCAGACTGTTATGCAAAACAGTCTGTACCACAGCTAAGGAAGGTGAACCAAGTATCGTTTACAAAATCATCTGTGACAAACACATTGGACAAAGTGGCCATCCCTTTCATCGTCGTCTACACGAACATCAGTTAACAATTAAACCTCAAAATTAAATTAAACGGTACTATACTTCGTAACTTATATCAGTGCATATGGATAACTATGGACGTTAATTTGATTTTCTAAAACGCTGAGATTTTGAACAGAACAACACGAAGACAGTAACTACAAGGTCATATCAATGCAGACGCAACCAGTAGGACATTTTGTACAGTCAAAGAAATCTACCTATCATTTGCCATTTCATCACGTTGAACAACTGAATCATTGACAGAAATCCTGATAACTCATTTCATATTACGGTTGTTGCTGTTGATGTCTAAAAAGCCAATGAAAACTACATGATTAGCTCATCCAGCTCAGAAAACGCAACAACACCAACACAAACCTTTTCATGTTTTTGAATTACATCATCTTTTGGATTGTTTGATCAGTAACCAAAAGTGTCCTATCAGTTACATTACAGGGAGCATTAAACAATGACAGTGCATATGCTCATTGGATTAAGCATTCAAATTAGGAGCAGCGAATTCCTATTTCAATTTCTGCTCCAAATACATCAGTATAAGAAACTGTGTAGTATTATAAGCCTCCACAAAATATGACTAGTAGCTTCATACATGAATAAATGTACTGAATTCAATTGCTTCAATTAGCTGCATGTGATCTTTTACGAAAGAACTGTTTTGTGAATCATAATTTCAGATGTTGTACGATAGATTTAAATACTGGATACAGTGTATAGCATCAAGTCAATTTCACTTGGGGTTCTGTACAACATGGAAATAGAGAGGTTGCAAAATTTCGATCACAGGTGTCTTCGTAGCATTGCTCACGTTGGGTAAAATCACTATGTGAGCAATGTTGAAGTCAGACGAAGGGTACTAGGCAAGACAAACAAATTGACTGAACAGATATGAATCTTCATCACTTGAGATGGTTTAGACATGTGTCGCGCATGTTGATTCACCGCCTCCTCAACGTGTCACGCTAGAAAAAGTTAGATTACGCTCGAACAGAGTTCAGGGTGGCCATATCAAGACGAAACACCAGTCGTTGAAATCCCTGACTGTTGGTCTCAGCCATATGGATAAATGTAGACTGCCTAGTTGTGGTCCCCTAGACGATGAGAATCTATGGTTGAAGACTCTTGGTGACATGTCTGAAAATTGGTCACCATGGTGTAGATATATCCACTTCCTTGACATTTCATAAAGCTTGAATATTTGCACTAAACTTTATCTCCAAATTGTTTATTCTCTCACACAACTTTGTCTACTTTGATTTCAGTTCTTCTTGTCCACTTGTTCTTTGTATACATACTACTGTGAAATGTGATGACTTGAACCGATGCACTTGTTTGCTAGGTTTCACATTGATTTTTTTTCTGTTTGTTTGTCCATGTACAATTTTTGTATAACGTTAGGAACGTCAGATGTGTTAAGTGAATTTACCAGGTTCATGATACGTTTGGATCGGCATATTGATACACTGTGGGCGTCATGTAATGTGAGAAATCGAACAGCTTAAGATTGTTGCGCATTACTTCATCGTCAAAATTTTTTAATAAATTTGACTGAAAATTGCATTGAATATTAGCAACAATTCTCACTTTTTTTAAGTAAAAATAATACTTAGTCTTTTTTAATGTTGATTTAACACTGATAGTAGCAATAAAGTTTTCAATGTATAAGAAAAATGATTACTTTTTTTTTTCTAACAAGACAATAAAATTTAATTATTTTTATTTCTACTAGCGCTTTCATCAAGAGATTAGAAAAATATGCTACGACTGGCTCTAGTACAAATGTTTGTAGGCGCAGATAAAACTGCCAATCTTTTACATGCATCTGATCTAATTAATCGGGCTGTGTCTGAGCATTCAGCTCAACTTGTATGTCTTCCAGAATGCTTTAATTCTCCTATTGGTACAAAATATTTTGAATCTTATGCAGAAGATGTTCCAAATGGTCCTTCATGTCAAGTTTTATCTGATGCAGCTAAGTAAGTGCAAATACACTTTTCCCTTTTTTACTTCTGTCTCTAGATAAGTCATTTTCTATTCTGCTGTAAAAAAAGGGGGGGGGTTGCATTTTGGCACCTGTTAAATGTAAGATAATGTCTCAGGATTTATTTACAGTGGCTAAGTAGAGTGAAATGGTGGGATATACTGATTACTCTACTTATTTAGGAGAGTTGCAACATCTTGAATGCTTTAGCTGCTGACAAATTCTTAGCTTGGATTATAGAATTTCGTTTGGCGTTTGCCAACGAGAGCCACTTGCGGTGCCAGCAAGATATCCGACTGTCTATCAGAAGGCTAATTTACTGTTCAACAGTCCACTGTACCTTATTATACAGCTGTGAAACATGACTCATGAAAGTAGATACGATGAGGTTGCAGGTTTTTGATCAAAGTTATGTTTGTAGCGTAGAGGAATCATGGTAGGAACAATGTCGAGATTAGGCGCATAGTACTTGGCAAGTAAGGTAAACCAGCCGGTGAAGTTGTAAACCTTCGCTGACTGAGGTCACTTGGACACTTGTCTCCTATGCCAAATCACTACCATCTCAACATTTGGTGGTGGACGAACTGGAATCAATATGGTAGAACATTGAGCATGACCAGAGCAAGACGTGACACCAGTCAATGAAGTCTCCGACTTATGGGTGCAAGCAGTGTAGGGAGATGTAGATTGTCTGAATGGTGTCCTGGAGATATCAGAAATCAGTGATTACAAACTATTTGTGATATGGTTGAGGATGGATCACAATGATGAAAATATATGCGCCGTTTGTCATCCCCGATGTTTCGAACACATCAACCTTTATCTGTTTATTTTACTCCCCACAAACTTGTCAACTTCAGTGTCATTGTTTTTCTATCCAGTTGTCTTTTGCATGGTGTTGTGACATGGGACAACTTGAACTGATGCACTTTTGTGATTGTTTATACTTTGTCTATAGTCAGTTGTCAATGACGAAGTAGTTTTCTTCAGAAACTAACAGTAGTTGGAGAACCATTGAAAACCGTGTAAGTTGCTGGTCACGTGCTTCATCCTAGTGTGGGATTCTTCAGCAATGCGCACCCCATAACCTCTCGAGGAGTCGCAAACTAGGTTTTCCATGTTTCTCTTACTGATTTCAGTCCTTTATGAAGATTAATTTTAAATCTCATCGTACCTGTGTTGTCGTGTTTCAGTTTCGTCCTTCTCATACCGCTATTATTTTCACTCAATGTTTTTTCTTGTTCGTTGACTTTCTCGGTGTGATAAGCAGAACAGATAGATAAAATCAATGTGAAACCTAGCAAACAAGTGCATCGGTTCAAGTCATCACATTTCACAGTAGTATGTATACAAAGAACAAGTGGACAAGAAGAACTGAAATCAAAGTAGACAAAGTTGTGTGAGAGAATAAACAATTTGGAGATAAAGTTTAGTGCAAATATTCAAGCTTTATGAAATGTCAAGGAAGTGGATATATCTACACCATGGTGACCAATTTTCAGACATGTCACCAAGAGTCTTCAACCATAGATTCTCATCGTCTAGGGGACCACAACTAGGCAGTCTACATTTATCCATATGGCTGAGACCAACAGTCAGGGATTTCAACGACTGGTGTTTCGTCTTGATATGGCCACCCTGAACTCTGTTCGAGCGTAATCTAACTTTTTCTAGCGTGACACGTTGAGGAGGCGGTGAATCAACATGCGCGACACATGTCTAAACCATCTCAAGTGATGAAGATTCATATCTGTTCAGTCAATTTGTTTGTCTTGCCTAGTACCCTTCGTCTGACTTCAACATTGCTCACATAGTGATTTTACCCAACGTGAGCAATGCTACGAAGACACCTGTGATCCACATTCATTGACCGCTTCATATGTTTCACTTTTAACGTCTATATCTCACAGGCGTATAACAGGATAGAACGAACTTCAGCGTTATATCCTTGTCCTTTGATAGACAATCAGATATATGGCTAATTGGCTCCACAGATGACCGAAGTTGCCAGCTTCCAAACTGGCCTTCTGTATCTGCGCTGAGATTTCGTTAGCATCTGCCCTTTTGGGTTGATGCAACTCCTCAACTAAGTGAAGCAGACAGGCCATCACTTCACTCCCTGTCGTTGTCACGTAGAAATACACTCACTGACCTTGTGCTCATTCGTGCAGTAGGCTATGTATCACACTTCTTGTGTGAGGGCTATTGATGCTACTACCTGACTGCCCACACCTCTGTTAGTGGAACGGTGATTGAATCCGTGACCCATTGGTTGAAAGTCATCTTCCTAAACCAATGAGCCACAGCTCCCCGACAATGTGTTGTCTGGCGACTTGTGCCGATACCCATGTTGACTATACGTTTCTGTCTGTTTTTGCTATTCAAAATCGTGTTATGATGAAAAACGCTGCATACGCCTGAGGAGGGGGGAGGGAAATCTTTTCATGCTGTTTATAATGCTTAACCTGTTTCTTCTACTCGATAATCTCACTGTAATGTAGATCGTTCACAATGTGCTTTTTTGTGTAATCTTAATTGGTTTTTTCGAAGGCCAAATATAATATCGAATTGAAGTGAACATGAGGATTATGCCTAAGAACGGCCTATAAGCTAAGTCACTTTTGATTTTTGTCAAGAAATGTAATTACCTGTTGCGTAACGGTTTTAATCTGTTGTTCTGTGCTCCGTTCTACTATAAAGTTGAGAAATATGAGTAGACTGAAGGCCTCTTTTGCATCGACTTTTCCATGGATTATGTCAAAAGCAAGTGATATAATCCAATTATAATAGGCTGATGATTTATATTTGATAATTAACTGGTGATATTCATGTGTAAATGGATGGATGCGCACTTCTTGTTTTCTTTTTTTAATAATCAACTTGTCATAGGCGTCATAAAATATGGATTGTCGGTGGTTCTATGCCAGAGCGTGGATTTGATGGTAAACTGTACAACTGTTGTGCAACATTTAATCCAAATGGTGAACTAGTTGGTTTGTATCGTAAACTCCATTTGTTCGACATTGATATATCAGGTAAATGATAATACTGTTGATCTGTTTTCTTATTATTTTATTATTATTATTATTAGTCCCTTGGGTTCCTAGTGGAACATAGGGCTTCAGTAGCACGCCTCCAGTGACCTCTGTTCTCTGAGATCTTTTGGACCTGGTCCCACGACAGCCCAGAAGCTCTCATTTCCTCCTCGCACGACCTCCTCCATGTCACCCTCGGACGTCCAACTCGTCGCTTCCCATCTGGGTTCCACTCGAGGGCCTGGCCTGACGCGTGATGTCCTCAGTCGGCCTTCTCAGTGCATGGCCAATCCATCTCCACTTCTTCCTGCATATTTGTTGGGTGATAGGTTCTTGGTTGATTCGTTCCCAGAGCTCCTTGTTGCTTATTCTTATTATTCTGGCCATCTGATCTTCAGTAACGAGCCAGCGTAAGCAGTTGTTGATGAATGTCTGTAGTTTATTGGAAATCTCTTTCGTGGCGCGCCAAGTCTCTGAGCCATACAGAAGCACTGACTTAACGTTGGTGTTGAAAATCCGTATCTTGTTCCGCATGCTGAGTGCAGAAGATCTCCACATTGGTTTCAGGCTAATGAAGGCCTGTCTTGCTTTTCCGATTCTGACTGACGTCCTCGTCCGTCCCGCCTGTAGTTGAAACAGTGCTTCCTAGATAAGTGAAGGAGGTTACTTCCTTTAAGTTTCTCCCGTTGACGGTGATTGGAGTTTGTTGTTGTTGTTGATGGTGGTGGTGCGGTATCTTCATCACTTCTGTCTTCTCTATATTCACCTGAAGTCCCGTCTTCGCTGCCTCTTCTATCAACTTGTTAGTTTTTGCCTGCAGATCTTCAAGTTTATGTGACATTAGGCACAAGTCATCGGCGAAATCCAAGTCTTCTAGGTTCTTTTCCGTCGTCCAGTGTATCCCCCTCTTCTCGCTGCCTACTGTTTGCTGCATGATCCAGTCCACCACAATCAGGAATATCATGGGGGATAGTAGGCAACCTTGTTTCACTCCTGTCTTCACTTCAAAAGTATCACTGAGCTTCCCATTGTGAATTACTTGGCTGGTATGTGGCATCTTCATATAGTTGTTGAATGAGGCGGATAAAGGTTTGCGGTACTCCGTAGTATTGAAGCAGTTTCCAAATTACTTCTCGGTCGACGCTGTCAAAGGCCTTCTCAAGATCTGTTTTCTTAGTGAAGCAATAAAAGTCGATTAGTTATCTGATAGTGGTTTGTTTTCTGTTATTCTGTTGTTTTTCGATATTTCTGAGCCAAGAAGTCTACATCTATATGTGTTAGCATGGAGTCGAGCCCATATGCAACATACTGTCTCTTGGGAAACAAGGCTGTAGTAATAGGATTATTGGCTGTTATTCACTGTAAGTACAGCTGGATAATCATATGAACAATATCACTAGACTTCGAAGTCAGATAACATACTATCAATGTACGTTTTTGATCTTGTAGATCAACTGTATTAATTGGGGATATCGGTGAGCCGAAATTCTAACCAGTTGTTGTATCAAATACCTTTAGTTTATACTGTAGCTCACCCTATTGTGGTTCTCGTGAGCCGGACTTTTAATTCTGTTGTTTTTTCAACAATGTGAATTTTCGTTTTACACATTAGAAGTTGATCAACATGAAATTTTGTAAACCTAAGTTTCAGGTTTGTCAATGCTTATCACCAAAATATTCTGACAACCTTTCTTGGGGAATTTTATCTTCATTACTCCACGCTAAAGTTGCATACTTTTCCACTGAACCATTCAAATCACATATAATCCCATTGTACATGAACCAGTCACAAGGCGGTAATTGAAGTGGATGTCTGTTTATCGAGTTTGCGGTGTAACCACTAGTCTAAATGACACCACACTGTGGCCGACTCTTTTTGAGTGTTCGTTGTGAATTTCGCTATCTAGTGCGATCACTTCGGTCTAACCAACATCAAAATACATTCGTTACGATAGGAGTAACTCTAGTTTGAGAGTACCTAGGTATTTGAGGTAGTGTTAGGTTCGAGTCTCGGTAGGGATAACATCACTTACTGCGGGGCTATTGCATCCATCCGGAGGGTCTACAAGGGGACGAAACTTACATCTTGAATTCCACTGTTAGCTGCTATTAATCATTACGATAACTGGGAACTATTAATCGTGTAATAAGTAACTAGATCAAGGCCTGCGAGCAGCTAATGAATGCTTACTAATAAGTTTATGGCTGTATTTCTGTTCCTTCTGTCAAGGAATTATGTTTTCTTTAGTGACATGTCAATATTAAACGGAAAACATGTCTCATTTCAATAACACTATCATGTACAAAGATACTATATTGGAAATTCAAGTCAACGTTTGTTTCATTTTTACCTAGCAGTCCTCGTCTTGATTATTTAAAGCGAAATTTAGTGTCACAAGTTCGGGTTGAAAGTTGTTATCTTGTGTTTGGTTTGCAATTTTAGCTGTGTGGCTCGTTGATCTAGGCACTCAACGTTCAACCAATGAGAGTAGGTCATAAGTTTCAGCATGACTCTACCTACCAAAGTCTGCGCAGTCAGGTAATATCATTAGCCCTCACATAATAGGTATGGCTTATAGGTAGCCCACTGCACGAACGTGTATTGTGGTTGCCTTAATGCATTGTGACTCGATTCTATGGAGTTGTAATTCATTGGTCTAGACATTTGGCTTTCAGTCAATAAGTTATAGGTTCGAATCCTCCTCCATTGATTTGGAGTATCGCAAATATGTAGCAATTATATGTGATTTATCTTAGCCTAGTAGACAAACCTGTGCTAACTTACTTAGTTGTGCTGCTTTACTATGGATACTTTAATATTATTTGTTTTTTTAAGGGTTATCCCTACCACCATTGCCTTCAGCTGAAGTTCAGTTTTAACTAAGTAACTCAACTGGGTACATTTTCATGTACTACTCTATAACCCACAGTTACTGTGTAACGGCCTAGCATACCGCCTGGTTACATAGAAGGAAATAGCGTAGACGGAGTTCAGCACACAAAACTCATTGTTCTAAAATGTTGAAGTGCTTAAGTCGATGAACCACATCTCTACAAAGTACATTCATCTTTTTCCTCTATCTAACGATAGATTGACTACCAACCAATCGGTGACGAGTTCTAACCCATTTTCACCTGCTGGAAGCCTACGAGCGGTTGACATTTCCCAGCTCCCCACATCTTGGAAGTTATCTGAAAAAGAAAGGATAGTGTATGACCATGAAGCCCGAGGGGACATGTTCATGAGGCCGGTAACACATGGCCGTTTCGAAAATTTGAGATTTTGGTTTTTTGCTTTCGAATCCGTCTATGAATCCCTGTTGCAGGTGTCGGCATGCTGCTAGGTGATGGAAGTGTTCTATTTTTGGGGCCCTCTTTCCTGTTAGGAAAGGGAGCATCAGTGTGCCACTACTGGTTATCGAAGGGAAACACCTTACTGTTGTCATACACTCATGCGGCAAGTAGTACGACTTCGCTCCCAGGCCCCCAATATCATCTAGATCAACATAAGACTAGGCATTACTGCGTAACGGTCTAAGTTGCCACACCTCATGTCAGCACATCAAGTAACAAGTCAATAAAATAGAAGATGGGGGAGGAGAGAAAAATTGATGAAAAGAAGTAGGAGTAGAAGAAGGAAGATTGAGATGATGAAATTAAATATAGCGGTTAATATATGAGGATAATGTGTGTATTCATCTGCGCCACTGACATCGGTTATGAGCCATGATACATCACCTAGAGTCTCCAACCACCGGTGGTTTCTCTTGTTCCGTGGATCCAAACCGTCTAGCCTGCATCTCCCTACATGGCTCATACCAACAGTCAAGGACTTCATGCACTGATGCCATGTTTTAGTCTGGCCACCCTGAAGCTTTTTCCAGTCTAAACCTACTTCGGCCAATATTTTATGACGAGGCAGACGATGGCTAGACATACTTAACATGTCCCAACCATCTCAGTCGATGGAGGTTCCCGACCGCATCGACTGTCTTACCTCTCCTGTCTAAAACTCTACGTTTGACTTCTGCCTTACTCACATGGTGACGCTACGACGGTAACTGCATTTCGTCTTACCTCGAGGACCTTAAGGGAACAAGCGTTCCACCACTGTAGCTCTCTAGATCATTGTGATATGCAAAAAACCCGATGGCTATGTCAATGTAGCAGTCATCGGCCTCACCACCTACCGAGGTTTGAACAAGCAGCCAGGTAGTATCAGTAACCCTTATACAATAGATGTAACTGAGTGCATTTCGTTCTATCTATCTAACGTTAATTTTTCTTAAATCTCAGTTTTTCACAATATCTATTCAATTTTTCTTGTGTTAGTTATATTATTTTCTTGAAATATATCATACTTTACTACTACTACTACTGCTACAGGTCAGTTCACCTTTAAAGAATCAGCTTCACTTAGCTCTGGGAAAGATATATTTTATTTTGAAATGCCTCTGAATAATACAGAGAATAAACCATCAGTGATAAGAGTTGGACTTGCAATATGTTATGATATTCGATTTCCTGAATTATCATTAGTCTATGCTAATCAATTTGGATGTCAGTTACTTTTATTTCCAGCTGCATTCAGTACTAAAACTGGTAAGTTCATGTATTCTTTTAGTGTTATATTTATTTACAAAGCGTTTATATTCATTAGAGTTTAGTATTTAGTTCTGGTTATTCATTACTGGACTTATGGGCAAAACGATGCTGCTTTATTGCAGAAAGCTATATTCTCAACTATGTCTGTTTCTTCTTATCTAGTATTTGTTAACCGAATATGCATCTGACCATACTGACTGACTGAAAAAAATTAACGTAAAACCTCGAACACAAGTGTATCGGTTTAAGTTGCCACATTTCACAGTAGTATACAAAGAACAAGTGGATAGAAAAAGACTCATATTAAAGTAGACAGAGTTATGTGAGAGAATAAACAATCTGAAGGTTAGTGCAAATATTCAAGCTTTAGGAGATGTGGAGGAGTGAATAGATCTGCGCCATTCTGACTGATTTTCAGCAATGTCACCAAGAATCCTCAACCACTGATTCCCATTTTCTCGGGGACCTCAACCAGGCAGCCTATATCTGTCATCACGATTCAGACAAACAATCGAGGACTTCATCGACTAGTGCCACGTCTTGATCTGGCCCTCTTGAACCATCTTCCAATCTTATCCAACTTCCCCAAGTTATGGCACGTCGATGTAAGTAGTGGCTCTCCATGTGGAACACATGTCCTAGCCATCTCACCCGATAAAAGTTCACAACCTTGTCAATTGACTTGCCTCTCTTGCCTAATACCCCTTACTCCTCACCTCAACATTTCTTACATAGTGATTCCACCGTAGTCGAGCAATGCTACAAATACATGTATGGTCAAAACCCAGTAACTTCTTCATGTTTCATGCTTTCAACGATCATGTCTCAGCCGTACAACAGGAAAGAACGGACTGCAAAGCAGTATACTTGTCGTCGGATATCTAGCCAGTCGGTGCCACAGATGACGGAAATTGAAGAATGCCAAACTGGCCTGTATTCAAGATGAGATTCCGTTAGCAACTAACCCGTTCGAGGATACATGTGTTAATATTCTAGGTAAGACTCAGACTGTTGTACTGTGGCACGTGGAGCAGTGTCTCAGTGTAGAAATTCGACTTCCTAACAGTGGGTTACAGGCTTGAACCTCGCTCCATCTACCTTGGTTTAGGCAGCCAGGTTGTAATATTAACCGTTCACACACTATGTCTGGCTCATTGACTTTTGCATGCATAAACGTTCACGTGGTGACTGACTACATTTCGATTACAGGGTACAAGGCAACACTTTAAAAATAAACATACAAGATAACAAAAGTTGCGGATAGTTATAATGAGAGAAGAGGTGATGGTGGTTGGGTGTAAAACAACACCGACCGCGAAATATGATTTTATGATGGTGTGTAAATACATTTGCGCTACTGAGTTTGAATGTTAGCCATATCACCTAAAGTAATCCAGTCGTCGATTTCGCTTATCGTATGAACCCCACCCGAGTAGTTTGCATTTTACTACAAACTCCAGTTCAATAGTCAACGACCTTATGAACTGATGTCACGTTTTATCCTAAATACCCTTAACACTTTTTTTTCCAGCCTGAATCCACTTCAGCTAACATTATGTATTTGGGTAGACGATGACTGGGCATGCATAGCACACTTCTTAACCAACTGAGTCGATGAATGTTTACAACCTGACTAAGTGACTTACCTCTTTTACAGAAAACTCTACTCTTAAACTGCGCTTTAATAACGTAATGTTTTTACGGCAGGCAGAGAATACTACGATGGGATAAGCGGTTGAACACTTGAGGTTTTTTCATGTCCTTCATTACAAATACACAACAGTCGACTTGCTAATTCAGATATTGCCTGTAAAAATAACATGTGTTCATATGATTCATTATTCGAAATATATATTACTATTACTGATCTGAAACTGGGTGTTGATTGAAGGTGAAATTGAAATTTGAACTGCTGCTGGATTCGAACCAGCGACTACCGGGTTTTCGGCCCGATGCTCTACCAACTGAGCTATGGGGGGAGGGGAGAGGGTTCAACTACTGACTAGATTTCTATTTCACTTCACCCACTAAGTGTTCCACTCAACTGCCATGTGAATTCGTTACGTGTTACTATCGCTTGATCGTACTTATACTGGTTGCCCAGTCAAGACTTCATATTCCAGTCCAAATCTAACGAATTAGAAAGGGGGAGCATCATATTGATTATCATTTTGACTATCTGAGATAGCCGTGGTTTTAAAGTTGCACCTCATAGCTCAGTTAGTAGAGCACCGGACCAGAAACCCAATGGTCGCTGGTTCGAATCCGGCCGCGATCAAAATTTTCATTTCACCTTCATTCATCACCCAGTCATCATCAATCACTAGTCTGCCAAACCATGGCTATTTCAGATAGTCAGAATTGTTATCGTTGTTATAGTCTAGACCGGTAATGGTCACAGACTGTTGACTGCTGATGTAGGGTGAACATTTAAAGGTTTCTCTTTATAGGGCTTCGTGTAAAACATAAACGGATGTTATTTATGTAAAACATTTAATTTAAGCACATGAATTAAGTAAAATGTTGATAATACCTGTTTAGTATCGTTATAAATTTATTGCACCATAGTATCTGCTGCTCCTTTGAATATGGGTCTATAACTGTATCTATCTTGGTGACTAGCAGTGGAATCCGGTATGCTGTGGTACAGGTACATCCAGCCGACGAGTCCCGAGCCGTCCTAGATTCCACTGCTAGTCACCAAGATAAATATAACATCATGAATGTTCGGCATTATCGAGGCATCCGTGTAGGAGTCTGTCTACCCAGAGAGGTCGAGCAATTCGACCCTGTATAGCAAATGTCTATAACTGTTGAGAGGAGCGACGTCTGTACATTCATGTGTGTGTTCGTTTGGTTGGTTGGTTTAATTTCCACCTCAACATACTCTTCATCTAGCTACTGTCTTCAGCCCTAAATACACGAAAGACTGAATTCAGATATATTTCAAGGAATTAAATTAAAGTTTTCGAATGGTTTACCATCTTCAAGTAGCTGACTTGCAGTAAATTTGTTCACGGCTGTGTAATAAATTTAGTCGAATTTTATGCTTAAGCAAGAGATACTACTACTGAATAATTTGAGTAGTTAAAGACTACTTAGGCTAGTTTGTGTTATTTCACCAGCCAGATGAGAGTGATTTAAACACCGGACAGTGCTTTCGCTCGTTTGGGATCGAGGTCATCAGAAAGATTCAGTTCATAGGCCTGAATTAGTTCAGATCACCTAAATCTAGCTAGCTGACTTACATGAACCGGTATGCGTAAAGTAGGATGATCAATTTAGAAATTACACGGTCCCCGTTGACATTTCTCATAGCTGAGTAATTTTTCGAGGTTAGAGGTCACATCTAGTGATCTCAACTAAGAGTGGTCTCCAGTGGACATTTGAAAATCTACTCATCTTTGAGTTGTTTCAATGTGAACCGTGCGATTTGTAAGACGTTTGCTAATTTTATGCTTTAAATATAGCACTTTGCATATATCTTAGAAATTAATTATCATTGTATTTTTCTAATAGGACCTTTACATTGGGAGTTGTTAGGTCGAGCTAGAGCTTTAGATACACAATGTTATGTTGGTATGTGTAGTCCAGCGTGTAATCTGGAATTGGATTATATCAGTCATGGTGAGTCACTAGTCGCTTCACCATGGGGTATGGTTATGGCTAAGGCTGGTAAAGAGGTGAGTATTTTTAATAGTGTGTTCATATTACACTTCAAGATATGCGTGTTTGTTTCTTAACATTTTGTCTTCCTTAACAGTTAAATAATACCAAGAAACAGGAGACTTAAGTTCGACGCTTCCTGCTGATTGATTCCTAATATAGACTGGGGTTCCTTATTGCTTATTTCAATGGCCACTACATTGCGAACTTCGACGAATGACTCCAGCTAAGGCTACATCAACCCATAATGTGGCGATGGATTAATAAAGTGTACCAAAACTGGAAACTGTAAAACATTAATCACATAGGATTTGTGTGATGTGTGCTGATGTGATAACTGCAACTTGTGCATAGCCGCGTACATTTCCTAGGATAGTGTTTGATCAGTTGAATGGTACTGTGTTTTCTAAGTTGAACAGTTTGAACTGTGTAGCCCTCATTGTCATTCGAGGAGACAACATCATCAGGACAAGATTTCAGAAAGAAGTAAACTACGAAAAATTTTCCACAAGTAGCTTAATAGCCTGTCCTGATGACCTTGTTTGTGATTGGTTGTTCCTGCTGTGGTGTTTCTATTGTTGGCAAGTCTATTTCACTTGACTTTCTTACTAACATGAACTCTGAATTTCTTGTTTCTCATATTTTCCACTGGTTGTTAGATTTTAACATTATCGATATATGCCTATTGATCTAATGATTAAGTTGACGGCTAGCTTTTTAAAAATTCACTGACATTCTTTGTATTTCCTCTGTCCAAAACTTTCCCAATCGACCCTACGTCTACAGCTGTTTGCATAAATTGATATGACCGAAAATTTATCTTGTCACTTTACTACTAGTTAATGTTCGTGTAGGCGAATATAAAGAGGGGCAATCACTCTCTCCAACATAGGGGTTTTTTGTAAATGCTGCAGTTAATGGATGAAAATTGGGTCTATTCAACGTGAAAATTATAGTTTGGTGTTCTCTCTCTCTCTAGGGAGAGAGGGTTTCGCTGACGAAAAGATGGTCAGTTTTGCTTTGAACCGAGGTGTTTACACAGATCTGTAACGTCAAAGGACATCATTAGTTCGTGACTGTCAGATACAAGACAGCCAATCACAATGGATGTACAGACAATGACAGTGGTATGGCAGAAACAACCAGTCACACGTAAAATCATCAGGGCAAACTATTAAGTTAGTTGTGGAGAATTTCTCACAGCTCACTTCTTTCGGAGGTTTAAGCTGACGATATTGTCTCCTGGAATGGCAGTGAGGGCTTCATGATTCGACTGTTTATCTCCTCCTGAGCTGTAGCACATTCTCCCTTAAATCAATGTTTTCAAGCAAACACTAAACCAGTTAGTTGAATCGATGATGGAGATGATTTCCATATTCATGGACATCGTCATAACATGGAAGGACTAGTGATGATGTTTAACGTGACATTGAAACATCTGTCAACCAACAGACTGTGTATGCGTTATCATCATTATTATTGTTAACATTACATCAGCTCAGTGGCCATTTGCGAGTTTATGCACTGAGTTACATGTATTACGTAAGGGCTAATGATACCACCAAGGGCTACCTTAGCCTAATTAGGTGGAGAGATGTTCTCACTGCGATCCTCTTGGTTGAAAGTTGGGTACCTATCCCGTTAAGTTACAACTCTATTATGAAACAGTCACTTACCTACTTAGGTGTAGCAAAGATAAAATAATCATCATGACGTTATCTTGAAGATATCAGACATTTCATCAGAAGAAATATCAAGATTAGTGGGGATACTGATAAATTCTAACTAATGAACTTAAGATTTCAGTTTTGAACGCTATAACAGTTATTCTTTCTTGGAAACGAACGAGAATGAAGCAAATATGTATACAGGATACTAAGTATGGGAATACTCCACCTGTTAACTGATTTCAACCGGTATATCTTTGTGTCAGTTGAAAGATTCAGGAATCTTGTCTTACCTCAGTCTACAGCATCTCTGAAAACTGACCAATATATTCGCAATACATGACTTAGCCATCTTAGTCGATAGAGATGGATTATTTCTCTTTGCCACCACTACCTGTTGGCTTCTTTGGTCTAGGTTTCTGCATTGAAGAGCTGTGGCTCATTGGTTTAAAGAGTTGACTTCTGAGTGATGGGTCATTGGTTCGAGCAGTGCCCCACCTACCGAGGTTTGGGAAGCCGGATAGTATCAATAGCGTGCACAGAAAACAGGTGTTTCACTCATTGCCTACTGTATAAGATTAGTGAGTGCAAAATTTCTGTATTGCTTGATTACTGCTACTGTTTGATGTAGTCAATTTTCTATAGACTATCTGTCAAACGCCATCATCAATAATTTTCTCATCTTCTATCCCTTCATTCAGTCTTTCTTTATGGTTTCAAGAAGGAAGTAAGCCCATATTTCGTTAGCGATTAGCTTAATCAAAGTGTAGTTCAAATCGGTTAACTGTATGGTTTTCAACTCGCATCACGTTTTGTTTCGGTGGCAAATACTCTTGTCTAACTGATTAAATGTTAGGTGAATCAAGATTCAAACTTTTATTACCGCAGATTGAAAGTCGGCGAAACAGATTCGTTTCACAACGCCATATATATATATATATATATATATATATATATATATATATATATATATACGTTTTGTTGATATAATCCATTGTAATATTTTTAATGCATTTATGCAATTACTCAGTTGGTGTGAGTTATACTTCATGCACTTCATTGATGTGTTTTGTAGACAATACTCTTTACAAGTTTATATAGTTGACTTCTATTCGCTGTTGTGTCTTGGGCAGGTAATTTGAATTTCTCCACTCTGTTCAACTCTGAATTCATATATCCTTTGTTAGCATATGATCTATCTTAATGGATTTCTTAACTTACTCATGAGTTTTATTCTAATTTGATCTATCTAGCGATAGACATATGGGCATGGGAAGTCAAAGAAATGTGTTTGATCGTATTTGAATCAAATCGACTGGTAGTTAATTCAAGTAAGACTCGTTAACGCCTACGTCCTAATATCATAGTGCTGTTTAAAGCACAATAAATTACCAGTTGGAACACTACTTTACTCAGTAATGTCTAGGGAGCCTGGTAATATCATTAATCCTCATATCTACTGTACTAACGTTCACGGAGTTTCGATTTACGCTTAAACGTTTTACTTGCTAAATTGCAGTTTCTGGGATTATAGTAGACAAGACACTCCTACATAATTTCACTGTGAAGATATATATATATATATATATATATATATATATATAAGTAGTAGTATGTATCCCTTGGGTTCCTAGTGTAACGTAGGGCTTCAAGAGCACGTCACCATTTCACTCTCTTCTCTGCAATCTTTTTAACCGGGCTCCACGACTACCCATAAGGCTTTCATTTCTTCATCATATGATCTCCTGCATGTCACCATCGACTCGGACGCCCAACTTGTCGTTCCCTATTGGGGTTGCACTCGATAGCCTGACTTGGCGCATGATGTCCCCAATCGATCTTTTCAGTGTATGTCCAATCCAATCCATCTCCACTGTCTTATTGTCTATTTTTTCTTTTCTAGGAGGAAATTATAATAGCCAACTTGGATTTTAGTGAATTAAAACGAGTTCGTGAAAGTATTCCTATCGGTAGACAACGACGTCTAGATGTATACAGTATTCCAAAAATAACTAAACGACAATAAAATTATCATCAAATCAATTTTCGTCTTGAAGAGATAAACTATTCAACTGGTATGTTATTGTTTAAAAAAAACGATATGAATATCCAGATTGTGTATTAATTAAATTTCAACGGATATCTTACTATAATCTTTTTCTATATAGTTACCAATCTTATCATCATACAAATTGAGATGATTTTGATAACTGATCAACACTTTTACTATTCTGACACTTAGACTTTTGTGAATATTCTTTTATTATTTGTGTGTGTGTGTGTGTGTGTGTGTGTGTGTGTGTGTGTGTGTGTGTATAATTTGATTATAATATACTGATTTTCAAGATGTTGATAACCTACATATTCTCCCGGATTACTTAATGATAATGGTGAGTGAAGAATTGACCTATGGAATTGCTCATTAATGTTTAGGCAATCGATTTTAAACCAGTGGATCATGGTTCCCGGATCTGCTTCACTCTACCGAGGTCTGCACGACTAGGAAGGATCAATAACGTTCATAAAACATGTATGGCTCATTGTTTATTGTAGAAAAAATAACTTGGTTACTTGAGTGTATTTCGATTTAAGAATAGTTATTGTTTGAGCGGGTTGTAGGGATTTAGACATATTTCAAGTTGATATTCATCTACAATGAATACCCGAAGTTTCAATGAGAAGTTGTGACCAGTGGAGCTAGCCTGATGGTCGTTAGAAATATGAACCATTGGATTCCCACCCAGTGGCTGAATGGTAACGTGCTGGCTAGGGAACCTAAAGGTCGCGGGTTCGATCCCTGGTGGTGTCGTGGGTGCGCACTGCTGAGGAGTCCCATACTAGGAGGAAACAGCTGTCCAGTGCTTCTAGGTTTCCGTTATTCCTCCAACTAATATCAGTCTACGATGAATACCAACTTGAAAGTGATGAATTGATTTATGAACTTCAGGATTCGTCTACATCGGTACCCCGTATGACAGTACAGAGTGCATTGACCTAATGTATCACAATCACTACTTGTCGGTTGATGATCTTCGAAAACAACTTGATTTTTATTTACCTTGGAAGTTTTAAAGTGATGAAAAAGGTTTGATTGGCTTTCACCATTTGAGCTAGTAGTATGAGATAGCCGAATGTGTATCCGAAGTCGAAAGTATTGCAGAGTACAAAACTCTGTCCTATTCAATGGTTGAGAGTATGGAAATTGAAAATGGACAATTTGAAGAGACTGGATATTTTTGACCACATGTATCTTTTTAAGATTGTTGTCGTAAGGTGAAGTTACCGTGTGAGATATTTCTAGGTTAGGTGAAGGGTACTACAGAAGAAAAGCAGAGTCAGTCGATGAGGTTGTAAAACTTCAGCGACTGAGGTGTTACGCATACGGAGCCACTACATGTCTTCGGTCAACAGAAAAGAGATGGGTTAGACGTTCCACACATATGGCAAGTGTTATTGACTCGCCTAGGCAGTTGTAAATAATATATGAACAGAATTTCATTCCACATGATTTATTCCCAATTCACTCTTACTTGAATAGTTTCCGGTGTTATTTCACTTAATCATCTTAATCACGTGAAAAATGTATTGGGTGTATTTTAACAACTTGTCTATTCCATTACATAACACTTTATTTTCATCAATTTTACTCTCTCCTATGAATCATTCTATATATTACATAATCCATTTTATTATCACCCATACATCAACTGTTATCAAAAGTACCATTATCATTATTTATTCATTATATATTGGTTGATGTTCAAATATTCATCCTTCCAAACTAATCTACTCACAACCCCATTGTACTTTTCATAGTCGAACTAAATCCCCCTCCTTTCCCTATTTTTGTTCCACTTTAGTCGTAGCATTGATAAATGCCTCCCTGACCAATTTGTTTATTCACTCACCCATATTACATTGATCTTTCCTCCATATCACGATGTAATTGTATGATTTTAAAGGTCACCGTCACTTTCTGTACCAAAACTTGAAAATGGATTTTTCTAGTAAGATTGATATGTTGAAGAATAATACAAAATATTTGTTTATTTTATTATTTCTTCTAATATATACATGTAAAGATATACTTTATACGATGAATTATCGAGTTAATAATCGGTGCTCAAGTTTTTTCAAACCATCCAGTTGATTGTTGGTCAGGCTACCTCCGGTTTATGACTATCTTGAACATTGAGTAATCTTCAAAGAGATGATTTATAGACTATAAATAATATTCGATTATGTAGAATGAATAGAACTCAAAGTGGGTATGTGAAGTGAATTAAGGAAGGATGAATATCATAAGATTACTGATACCTTTTAACTAATATATGTAATTTAAAGCAACTGGTCCCTTTGATAAATTTAAACAGTGTAATGAGAAGACGAAGATTATCTGAAACATGTCGTGATGTATTAGCGCTATACATTTCGAACAGTCTGATCACACATGGACTTGTCGAACCATTTATGTGAAAATTTACGAAAAGGTCAATGAAGTTAGTAGGAAACATAGGAATAGGAAGGGATAGAAAAAAGAAAGGAAAACCTTACTCTTGGTATGAAAATTGAAATCAATACTACCAAGGTAGGTTCAACATGAGTGCGAATTGCTTTTGTATACACAAAGGGGGTTTAAATTTACGGATGGCAATAGCTTGAATAAATTTAAGCACTCAGCTCTGACCACTTTTATGTAGTACTTTAAAGGTTGTTTTCATGTCTATCCTAGTATATGTTTAGCGATAGACGAATATGGATGTTTGTCACCTGCATTTATCGGATCTATTGAGGTCATTTGTTTTTGATACCGACCACTTAGGTACATGTTCAACCTTCCTTAACTGCATATCACGATTATTATTATTATTATTATTATTATTATTATTATTATTATTATTATTAGTCCCTTGGGTTCCTAGTGGAACATAGGGCTTCAGTAGCACGCCTCCAGTGACCTCTGTTCTCTGAGATCTTTTGGACCTGGTTCCACGACAGCCCACAACCTCTCATTTCCTCCTCGCACGACCTCCTCCATGTCACCCTCGGACGTCCAACTCGTCGCTTCCCATGGGATTCCACTCGAGGGCCTGGCCTGACGCGTGATGTCCACAGTCGGCCTTCTCAGTGCATGCCCAATCCATCTCCACTTCTTCCTGCATATTTGTTGCGTGATAGGTTCTTGGTTGGTTCGTTCCCAGAGTTCCTTGTTGCTTATTTTTTCTGGCCATTTGATCTTCAGTAACGAGACAGCGTAGGCAGTTGTTGATGAATGTCTGTAGTTTATTGGAAATGCCTTTCGTGACGCGCCAAGTCTCTGAACCATACAAGAGCACTGACTTGACGTTGGTGTTGAAAATCCGTATCTTGTTCCACATGCTGAGTGCAGAAGATCTCCACACTGGTTTCAGGCTAATGAAGGCCTGTCTTGCTTTTCCGATTCTGACTTTGACGTCCTCGTCCGTTCCGCCTGTAGTTGAAACAGTGCTTCCTAGATAAGTGAAGGAGGTTACTTCCTTCAAGTTTCTCCCGTTGACGGTGATTGGAGTTTGTTGTTGTTGTTGATGGTGGTGGTGCGGTATCTTCATCACTTCTGTCTTCTCTATATTCACCTGAAGTCCCGTCTTCGCTGCCTCTTCTATCAACTTGTTAGTTTTTGCCTGCAGATCTTCAAGTTTGTGTGACATCAGGCATAAGTCATCGGCGAAATCCAAGTCTTCTAGGTTCTTTTCCGTCGTCCAGTGTATCCCCCTCTTCTCGCTGCCTACTGTTTGCTGCATGATCCAGTCGACCACAATCAGGAATATCATGGGGGATAGTAGGCAACCTTGTTTCACTCCTGTCTTCACTTCAAAGGCATCACTGAGCTTCCCATTGTGAATAACTTGGCATGTGGCATCTTCATATAGTTGTTGAATGAGGTGGATAAAGGTTTGCGGTACTCCGTAGTATTGAAGCAGTTTCCAAATTACTTCTCGGTCGACGCTGTCAAAGGCCTTCTCAAAGTCGATGAAGTTGAGGTGTAGAGCTGATCGCCATTCTATGCTCTGTTCTATGATGATGCGTAGCATCGCGTTGCAATTTGGTCTGCACATGGTTTCTTCTTCCTGAAACCAGCCAGCCTGTTTCGGTCGTACATAATTTAAATTAGTAGCCAAATATTAATTCCATCTTGATACGTCTTTCTGTCATTGCTATTTCAGATATTACGCGATTCCTTTTTTTCCTGATCTCCTGGCTTATAATCAAATGTGAACTACGTTTAGAATGATGTCAGTCTTCGATGAATAACAACTTGAAATACGTTTAGAATATTTCATGAAATACTCCTTTTCTGTTAGCAAGTAAATAGAATATTTATATGTACGATTGTACAGGTTGTAAACGATATCGCTGAAAAGAGTGCCTCTTCGCTATACGTCTTTTATTTTATGACTTAATGGAGGGATTTTTAAACTGATCAAATATTCGTTTTTGAGATTCGCTGTCACAGTGTTTGAGTGTACTTCAGTAAGGTAGTAGTGGCATACAATTCCCCGAAATCAATAGCCTAGGATTCAATGAGACTTCACATTGATGCTGACCTTCATAGTTTTATGGGACTCGCTAAGCTGAAGGTCCACGGTCAAGCATCCATGGCATTTGGCTGGTTGTTGTGAAACGTTGTATTGCTCGTAATCGATCTCCTAGGCAGTTAGTTGAAACATATCGGTTTTTTGACACGACCTCGCAAATATACTGTTCTATCTAACTAGACTATTGTGTACTTCGTTAGTCTCGTATTTTGGGGTATATTACAAGTACGATTAATTGGTGATTGACCTCTGCGTTTATCAAGTTCGCACAAGGCCAATTCCTAAAATATAGGAGGTAGGTATGATATATGAAAGTTCTGGTGAGTTACATTTGAGGGAATAGTTGCTATGCGTACACATCGGTCTAACCGTGAGCATGTCGGATCCCACCTCCGACCAAAGTCTAATGACCAACTGCTGTTCGTAGGTTGTCGTCTAGCCGCCAATCGGTACGTTATTTGCAAGTGAGCTTTCAAAGAGTACAAGCTAGATGGTAATCAAGAGAGTTTCGAAGAGGAAAAGAGACGAGAAAAACATGAACTCAAGACTTAGCAAGCGAGTTTTCTTTTTGTCTTCAGAAGCGAAGTTCACAAACTGCATATATTGAATGAAAAATGAACATTGAATGCCTTTTTTACATTCGCACTTAGGTATCCCAGTTGCATATGCAGTCATCATCCCAGCGTATTTTATGACTTCTTCAAATATGTCATGTTTGCTGATTTACTGTGAAGATCCTTAGATAACTGATTTCAGAAGGAGTACTTTCTCATTTTAATACACCACCTAGGAAAGAAAAACTGAATAGTTTGTCGGTAAATGTTATTATAGTCCAGCTGAAATGCGATATATTCCAAGTAAGGATATACCTGTGCGGACCCTTGTAAATAAATCTTCAAATCCCGTTTTACTCTTCAATTATTCCTCATAAATGAAAAAGACGGAGAAGCAGTAGGTACGTCATACAGTTAATTGTACATGAGAAGATGATCTAGTTTCTAATCGATTGGAATTTTCCTTCATATGCTATTCTGCAAGGGTAAAAACTTTGAATGGATCATGTTATCCAGTCGGGTGTTTGAAGGTATAGTAATATGAATTTTTGGAATATTTGAAATACTTTGATCAGTTTCAAATGCATTAAAACTAATTTCACTTATTGAAGGGTATAAGAAGTAGTTATTGCACATCCACTAGATCACTCTGAAGATGACGTTTAGATTGATATCATTCTTGGTGCTAATAAAATGTCAGTCCTGTAAATCACTGTGACTGTTGGAATATCCACAGTGTTCAAGACATGAATTTCTACCATTAAATCAACCGTCTGTCAGCCATTAGACTAGAAAGTGTGGCTCGATTAATTCTCATATGAAAGCTTGTCATTATCCTGTTAGATATTTGCACTGTTGTGCAAATCTGTTTGAATACCGCGGTTTTCGGATTTAAAGGGTACTTCATTTAGCATGATTTGTCATTGATGGCAGTGCAGTTGAACTAGTATAATGCATAACATTATACTGGTCAGATAGGTTTTCTTCTCCACGTGGTCGAATAAGGCTATTTTAGATTATCTAGTGTTGATCATTATCGACTGATTAATTGATGATAAATGAATGATGAAGACGTTGGCGAAGTTTCATCACCGAATGCACGGTTAGACACAGGATCGCAGCTTCATTTTCATTACTACACAAAGTGAATTAGTTTGGTTAGATTATTGGGAGGATTCGGTACTTCAGTTATTCAACTCCTCATATCAATATTCATCATGGACTGGCATCCTGATGTTGTTGATTTAAGGCATGACGTGGATTTTAATAATAAGCGAACGATATAATGGCGCAATGAGATACTTGGACTGGATACGAAAAATACGACTGTTCTCCCCCACAGTCTATACTTCACTGAGCCGCGAATATCACAAGACAAAAGACGGCCTATAACTGCAAGAACAACAACTTTATTTGACAAATACATGGTATATATATGTATACAAAACCCTCAGAGAATGAAGCCATAACTAAGGCAAGCCGATTGGTTGTATGACTTCGAGTTTGTCCAATCAGGTTATCATGTCTGTACATGCATAAGTCGTGATCTGAAAACAATTCCTCTATCGGCTGCCTTTTTGTCGCTACCTATCACATCAGTTGGAGGAACATTGGAAACCTGGAAGCACCAGACAGCTGTTTTTTTTCTAGTAGTGCACACCCATGGCCTCGCCTGGCCAGGGACCGAACCCAGGACCTTCAGGTTCGGTGGTAGGCACGCTACCATTGAGCCGATGGTCCACATTTCCAACTTGTGTCAGTTCACGTGATGGCGTGACTATCACCCAATTTCATTGTTGAGTATTTGTCCACACATCCACCAGGTTTGCCCCACAGGTCACGACTTTTCATCGGCACTTCAGGAATCACCTCTCAAAGTTAGTCGCCAATGAGCACTAGAATAAACTTAGCCAAGTATCTACTCTTTATCTACAGGACAAATCCAGTCATTTATTCTCTGTGTTTCATGATGCTAAAAGGTTGTAATCAGCAAACTGATATTCAGTTTCTGGAGTATATAATAGCCTCAATCCTTAAATGTCAACACCATAATCACAAGGTCACAGGAGTATTCAGTGTAAGCGAACTTCGCCCGATGCATCCTTAACAGAGTAATCAAACACAAATACAAAAGATTGTAAAATTTATATATCATGGAGGGGTTAGAGTGACCAGCTTTTCTCTATAGTCTTTCACTGCTAAATGCATAATCTACAGAAAAGTAACAAATAAGTGTGAACTTAAGCTCACACATCCATTAACAGCTGCCTACTCTCGATACTGAGGATCAGATGGCAGAAAGAATAGGCAACAAGGAACTCTGGCCAGTCAGAGAACCAACCAACAACCCATCACCCAACAAATATGCAGAAGAAAGTGGAGATGGATTGGATTGCACATACACTGAGAAGACCGACTGGGACATCACACGTCAGGTCAGGGCGTCGAGTGGAATGCAAAGAGGAAACGACGAGTTGGGCGTCTGTGGCGATAGTGACATGGAGGAGATAATATGAGGAAGAAATGAAAGCTTGTGAGCAGTCGTGGCGCCAGGCTCAAAAGACTGCAGAGAACAGAGTTTAGTGAAGTCGTGCTACTGAAGCGCTATGTTCCACTAGGAACCCAAGGGAAAAAAACAATAATATAAGCTCACAGAAAGAATGGAACGCGTTGCGGTGATGGGCATCAATGTTTTATCTCTGAACTACACCACAACAATTATTCACAATATAACTCTGAATGTTACTGTTCGCTCACTTTTGTTAATCATATCGTTTCGTTAAATATTTTCACTCGAATTTTGAGAAAACAGGTTACGGTTAGCCAGAATCCTGTGTATATATGTTACAAAAAACTACACAAGAGTTTCGTCAGTGGTAAAGCAATTAATGAGTAGTTCATGACTTTCAGGCAGCAAATACCACCTGATGTCTGTTTATATATGAATTCTTATTTGGATGACTGTCGTTCCAATCCTCTTCTCTTCATATTACTCCTACAATGTATAGGATTCCCAGTCAACACTAAAATACCAACCTACCGCAGGCTTCGGTTATGATAAATAGGATGATTTTGAGGCTGTGAAGGTTTTTAAATTAGGCTGAAGAAGATATTACCGCTTGATAGTTAGCAAAATCATGGAAAAAATCAAGGGCTTCACGTGTCAAATAAACTGAGTGAAGTAAGTAGGTGAAATAAATGTGATCATTGGTGGAGGATAATCATTTTTGCAAGTTGATATCCAGTGAGTTAAGTATGGAATAAAAGTCGAACTCTATTGGTGAAAGTGGTAGCATAAACATCTCCGAATGCAAACATGTAGCAGTGTAGGAAAAGGCAAGACTGAGACTCAGGAAGGAAAGTTTATTATTGACATCTTGTACAGTAGTCATGAAAAAAATGTACACTTTTCACTAAAACAGTCATTCACACAATTTGTTTCGTCTCCTCTTTTGCTTCTATCTCAATTTGCTCTTAATACGCCCATATTGTCTCTTGCTTTTCTCCTGGGAGAATCTTTACCCATTGTTAGTAATTACCTATGTCTTCGAAAGCCCTCTCAACATATACCATTTATATCCATTCTGATCAGCAGCGCCCACTGATTTAGTAAGGTTGGTCACGTACTGTTTTCTAAATCAAACTACAAACTAAATTCCTTGGGTTTGTGATGAATGATGCACGAAGAATAGGGACTGTAATAGTGGTAGATTAGTTCCAACCCGTCGAAAATCGTTAATTTAACTTTGCCTAGTATTTCAACCCTGATCAGTCACATAATATGCATAGTGGTACTTAGAAGGACATTCAATAAGATTACTACACGAGTTGACGTGGCATGATATAGAAGTGACCAATGTGAACCATAGTATGGTTTATGCTACCATACAAATTAGTTCTGGTTTTGGTGTTAGCTGCGTTCATGTCTGATACGCTTTGAATTCACAAACGATTTCACCATTATTCTTAAAAAGTGTAGATCTAGTCTTCAGGCTTTTTACATAAATTTGTTGGTAAAACATAAACCTACATGGATGGGGGTGAATATACAGAATGTAAGGTGTGTGATCTAGTGACTTATGTTGAATTATCCCAGCAGCATTTGTGGAGATTACTGAGTGGCAGACTCGATTATCAAGAACACGTATGTGATGCATATTTACTGTTTCAAGCGGTAACACATGGGTATGTGGTAAATATGTGACCTTCGGATGACCTTAATTATTGCCAGATAGATGCCTTTCGTCCTCAGGGAGAGATGCATGCACGATGGCCTGTTGTGACTCAAACCCTCTTATTCAACCATTCCAAAAATTTTAATTAGCCAGCATTATCAATCATAATTC